ATTACTTGAATTTTCTGTTTGAAAATAAGAATCTAATGAAAATATATATTATTTGGTTGTAGTGTGACTGATGATATAATATTTATAAAAGTTTTAATAGTTTTTAATAAATATTGTATCTTCTTCGTTTTTARGTAATTATCAAAATGATTAAATGAAACATTATTATTTGATTTTTACCAATCATATTTACTTATTAGTAGACTATAGTGACATATATACGAAAATACTTAACTTTTGAAAAGGGTGGTAAAAAAGATGTTTGCCTAGATCGTGCCATGATGCGGTTAAATTTAAACATGCAATTATGTCCTGTCACATAATAATAACAGTGTCATCTATCGAAAAGTAATGTAATTGACAATATTATTTAATTTATATATGCATTAATCATTTGCAAGTATAAGTGTATTAACGTGATACTTTTTGGGTGTTTCATTTATTTAAATTRCAATTTAAAATCAAATAAATAATATTTATTCAATATGTAATGTTTTTTTTATTTTTTTATCTCATCTTTTTCATTTTTGTGTATACAATTGTTGTTCTTTCAACGGCAACTATAATATACTATTATAAAAAACATATCGAGACTTAATCGTATGTCGTTGTAAATATTATCATACATGTGTCAAAAATAAAACTCGTCAAAACTCATGTGTTGTACAAAACATAATAAATGACAAACCTGTTGCGGTCGGTGCTCGGTGAGTAGAAAAGTTTCGTCCSGAAATATATGAGACGACTTTGTTCTACAAGTAATATTATAATATAGTGTAATTATAATATACGTGTGCGATGCGAAGCGACGCGTTCCGGAGATCAGTATACGGCTTAATATCGGATATTCTTATAGTAACCAAAACCRCACATCACAAAAAAAAAAAAGAAAAAGAAACAAAAGGTAACTTGATTGGGAAGAGTCGAAATTGAATTCGAATTTTCTTTTTCGAGAACACGCACAGTACAAAATATAAGATTCGCACTGATATTATAATACGATAAACGCGACCGCACTGCGGTTCACTGCGAACGCGTCCTGTTGGCACCGGGACATAATATTATAATATTTATCCCCCGTGGGCGGGAAAAAAAAAATCGTTCCAATTATTTTCCCCTAAAAAATGTATCAGCCTCGCGGACGTCTGGACGCGATTTACCGAATCATGAGCGCGTACGAACGGACCGGTAGGTAACCGAACGGATACTGGTGGCGATGATGCGGCGTCGTCGTCGGCTGCCGGACGCGGTTTGCCGGTCGCGTGCGCCACTATATTATTATTGTACTATAACTTTATTATCACGATTCACGACAACAATATAATATGGCGACGGCAACTACTTATTATGCGCTGTAACGATGGTGATAACGACATTAACTGCAAATGTATAGTGTCGGCGAGCGGCTATTATACTAAACGAAACGACGTCGGCGGCGACGGACGAGACCGCGGCGAGACAATGTGCGCGGCTGATGTTATTCAGGAACGATATTATAATATAGATTTTTTTTTATGTTTTAGTTTGTTCTTTTTTAGAGTGGGATGAGGCGGCGCAAGGTCTCCGGCGTCGGCCTCTAATAACGATAGCAATGTATTATAAGAACAGCAATGTAAAATACGATACGATTATTTGTTGAAAATTTTTTTTCCGCCCGCACGCTATGCCCTGGCGGAGGGGGGGGGCTTAATACCTGTACAGCTTATACACTTCCGAGCTTTCACCGGAACCGCGTGAGTATTGCAACTCGTCGCCGTCGGTCGACTTAATACGAATTAAATTATTATTATCATCGCTATTAATATTATTGTTCGCGACACGTAACTGCTATATCATTATATATATATTATTATAAACGACTGAGTTAGCGTATACGAGCAAGGTCGACCGGACTCGATCGACGTGTCATTATAATTYATATCTGAGTACAAGCAATGATTTATTAATTCCAATCATCGTCGTTATTATTATTATTATGATTATTTATATATAGTTTATATTTATGTTGTAGGTACCTACCTATTATTATTTTCACGCGGACGAGGAAACGCGCCGCGCCGGCCTGACATCAGGAAGTAAACCGAACGACGCGGTCTCTCCCGAGCTGCACATTATTTGCTATATATATATATATATATATATATAAGAAAGCTATATATAGTTAGGTATGTAGGTACCTATATACAGGCGATCGCATTCCGTAAAGTAATAATTTATAATGTTATGGCCGATTATACGCTTTATGCAGCTTAGGCACAAGGTGATTCTTTTAACAATATAAACTATACAGTCATTCTCCCCGTAAATCTATGTGTTTTTAAACATTTTTTAAAAATTAATTCTATATATAGGAGGTTCTTTTTGTGTACTATAACCACATAACATTTTTTTTTAAACAAGTGATGATTTCATCGTATAATATATTTCAAGTTCTTATCGCTATCGTTTTTTACGTTATTTGCGTTTTTAATGATAACATAGATTTCTGATTTCATATTTCGAATACTAATAGTGCTTTCCGAGGATTTCGATGAATTGAATTCCTAACAAGCAGATATATTATACTTGATTATAGTTGTATTCGTATCTAAAGTTTAGATAAGTCCATTTATTGTTTTGGTGGCCCGAGCTATTTAATATCACCTATGATGTCTAAAATTTAAACGCTATTAATATAAACTTTAAGTTCTAAGTTAAAAGTTAAAAGTTTTAGCATTTCGTTCTACTGGCATTTCTGAGGTTGGCCCGATTTTAACTTTTGACAATAGTCTGTAAGTAACATACGTATATATAATTTGAATTTTAGCCAAGTAGCTCCTGATTTATTAAACTTTTAAGTTTAAGAAAAATAGTATATGATAAAAAGTTCAGAAGGTATGAAAGTATATGATGATTAGAAAATTATAGTAATTAACATTACCTAATCATATGGTAAAAATTATCAGAGTCGTAAAATAAGTTAACTATATAGTACTATATCGAATATTACATAGGTTAGGTATATATTTTATACTTTACATATATCTTATATGCATATATAACCTTTATAAATATTATTCTTAGTGCATAAGTACACATTAATAACTCAGAAATAGTACCTATTTAATTTTGATTTAGGTGTGTCAATATTTGCAAAAATATCATCTGATTAAAAAAAAGGAATTTAATTTAAAAAATTATTTTATATCATCACAAAATGGTATCAAATAATAAATATTCAAATATTTGAAAACATGGTCAGCTACGTATATAGACATTTAAAATTTACAAAAATAAAAATTATAATGAATAGATTATTAAATAATAAAATAGTAATGGGCACGTTTGGTGAATCATGGTTGGTAAAATATTGTATTTTATTATCGGTTTGAACTTAATGTGTGCAACTTTTCAAACGTAGCTCATTAAACGGTTATTATCTGGTAGGTATTAACATATTTAACGTATTATTGTATAGATGAAAAAATTGTTCACTGTCACACATATTTTTAGTAAAATTCTAATGTCCGAGTTTTACAGCGGCTTTAAGCTTTATACATACCATAAATGTTATATCCTTTAAAATATTACACGATTCAACAAGAAAATCTCAATGGTCTGAGTTTGAAATTTTACCGGAATAGTAAGTTAAATATTCGCAAAAAGAAAATGTTAATTTTGCTGACGAGACCGGCTACTGATCGCTTCGGTGTATATTTGATGTATTTYGGATTTTATGATTAAAGAAGTTATTGTCGTTTAGATCATTTTTCCTAAATTCATTTTGAACCAAAAATATTATTTTCATTCTTTTTTTGCTCGTATATTTAATATTTCGTAATAWCTTCATAATTATATTATAAGTGTAAAAATTATGTTTTGCATAAATGTAAGTATATGTTTTTATCATGAATATCCATACATCCGAATTCTATAACGCGTAACCAYGCATTTATTATATGAACTTATCTTCTTTATTATAGTWTATTTACCAAAGAGTGTATTTTCTCTTTTTTAATTTCGAATTCATACTTAATTTTTGTGTTTATCGTTTGAATATATCATATACATATAATTATTTTAATTAAACAAATAATAATTATATATTTTATATGTTATATGTTATAATCTAATCATTAAATTTATGAATTTTAAGTTKATGTTTTAATTTTGTCTTCGTATTCCACTTTTAATATAGTTATAACCTAACCAGTATAATATATTATACGCTAATAAGTAATAATTATCACCAATGAACCTATTTGTATCAGCTTRTATTTAAAATTAATTATGTCAGTAAATTCTAAAAAATGAATGATTATGATCAAAATATTGCTAAATACTAATACTTATGTATTATATGTCATGTATATATAGCTAGTATCTATATTTTAAATCAATTTTCGATTTCAATTTGTCCTTGAACAACTTGAGATACAAACCAAAAAATTCTAGAATGTATTTTTAAATAAGATACATTTATCACCTAAACATTGAAGTGAAAAGATTTCAGTTCAGAAGAGACTCAAATGGAGACACGGTTTGGCCAATTGGTCACGATTATTATCCATTAATATTCTACACTATGTATGAACAACGAAACGTAAGCCTGCAATGGTATAAATGCATTTTTTMAAGGAGTTTCGCCTTAAATCAAATTAAAAAAGATTGATATAATACATTGTCAACAATATGAATAAAATATTTAACTCGCGTTATAATGTCATTATATAAAATCTTAAAATGTTTGGTTATCATGCAATCCTGACCATAAAGGTATTTCAATACATTATTCTGATTTCTGACATTATCCTAATTGTACTGGATTAACCATTACTTACATACTTTAGTGTAATGTAGATTCTATAATAGATTATGYGACTGAATGTTTTAAAGAATATTATATACTATTAGTATACCATACCTGTATGATATATTTAGTATTTACCTAAGGAATTTATGATTCGATTACTAACAAAAATKAAATAAAAATATTATTGATRTAAGATTAGTATCAACATTGATTATTWATWATTATAATCAACGATACCAATAGTGTAGCTGGATTTTTTTTAAATAAAAATAAAATGTATACATTTAATAATACTTATAAACTATTTAATTTATTTTTTATTACCTAGTTATATATTGTTGGGTAAATGAAGATATATTTGCCAGTGTTTGCGTCTAAAAAAATTAACGGATTAACCTAAAGTCATGATATTTCCACACATAATAATTATTAATGATTAACAATATAATATAATATACATAAACWCATCGAACGTGAATAAACCTCAAAGTAAAAGTGTGAAAACCCAAAATTTATTATTCGCGAACAGCAATACGAACATCACGTAAAAAATGAATGGCGTGTCTTGTTGCTTCAGAGTTCAGACAAACATCTTCACTGCAGATCTAACAAGGACAAAGGATATTATAAGTTCAATTAATGTCGTAATACAATATATAATCTTATGTGAGGATGATTTATTTTGTTTTTAATTAGTCCCGATTTAAACTATTTAAAAAACAATAAATAATATAATAGATCTTTAAGAAAATGGTTAAGTCGTGTAAACGCGTGAGATGCTTAATTTTAAATTTAAATTTTTAATTAAATTCGATTTGTAATTTTCTTGAAATCAATGCGACCTGTTTACAAATTACTGACGTTTTCTATACTTTTATAAGTTGTAGGTACATATATAAAATATAGACAACAGATATAAAGTATACAACACTACAGTACTATATGTATACCAATAACACACTACTGCATTTGCATATCCACAATAAATTTTCGGGCTCTGATTTACTACTCCGAAAATTTATTATCAAAGAAAAATTGCATCATTATATATTGTATTAAATAAAATGTCTTTCGTTCCAAGCTCGACTCATGGACTAAAAAGTTCATATACATCGGTATATGCAAAACCTGCACGGTTATAATAGGAACTTTTATATTGGCATTTCGGTTTCCTCGGCACAAGTGCAGGTCATCTATACGGTACTGTATATTATTATTTTTAATTTAACGCAATAACTACCTATAATGAATCATTATTAATTTATAAATGATATTCATTATTAATGATAACATTATACAATGTATAAGCGGTGTATTGCATTTTATCGACACATTATTGGAAAATGATGTTAAGCTTTAGAACCGTATTACCGTAATATTTCATAACATTTTGCAAATAATTCAAATTAGAAATTTCGAAATTTATTGAATTTAGTTAATATTTATAAATCCAATGATGTTGAGAGTGCCGTAGTGGTGCAATTTAAAATCATTTGACGCCCAAAACGATAAACTTAAATTATGTTTAGAGAAATAACACGCTAATCACCAAAATTGTAAAAAACTCGTATGATAAAATGTTATCCAAAAAAAGTTTAGCGTTGCAAAATGTCAATACTAGAAAAATTGTCAATGATGTATTTATTTAAAAAAATAAGAACACAATAAACTA